ACAATTTATTTTAAGTTTGAAAATTGGGAATTATTTATGCCACTAGAAAAAGATAAATTGATCCCACCCTACAATTTCATGGACAGTGTTATTGACGGAAAGAAGAAAAATGGCTGCTCCCAGAAAATCAATAGCCTTAAGGTCAAATTTATGGGCTCATTTAGCATGAATTTCTTGTGATAGCAGCTTGTGATTTTTACTTTGTATACATGATTTTCTTGATAAATGGCATAACAACTGTAAATTTCTTCCCCAAATGGGCTACTAATTTTGAGATACGCACTGGCGAAAATGAGATCTTGTCATTTCTATATTTGATCTAATTCACAGCCATTTTAGGTGAAGATTGGACTGCTTACTTAAAGACTCTTAAATTCATGGAGTCACTAGTGGACCAATATATAGATGGCATTTTGCGTGTCCATAAGAGATCCAGAAAACCTGGGTTAAATATTGTGGGGTTTACTTCTTCTTTATGCATTCAAATCGGATGAAAGCAATGGACTAACAATAGCAATACAAAAGTGGAACTTCTTGTTTACTCAGCTAAAGCAATTCTTTCTTTTGTACTAATATTGATTAATTTACCATCAAAATGAAAAATATATACACACACATATAGAGAAAAAGGCATCTACCGACCTTGTAATAATGTTACACTAATTTCATTAGAAGTAGGAGGCTTATTTCCTGTTGATGAAGACATAGCCATGTCATTAAGAGATCTTTCCGAGTAAAAACCAGGTTGTTTAGGTTGAGAAACCATCGGGTGCTCGATGTCTAACATTAATAAAACATTAGACATAGTAGGCCTGTCTTCGGGGCGTTGTTGTACACACAACAAGCCGACATGGATACATCTTAACACTTCAGATTCTGAATCTGAATTGAGAATCACCAATGAGGCATCCAAAAGATCCATAGGATTTCCTTCCGTCCATAGATTCCAAGCCTATGGCAATCGAAAATCATGCAAAATTGGTGACTTAGTATGCTTATCGCTCGTAAAGAAATTATTGTATTTTAAACTTACATGTCCCAAGAGGTTGAGGTCGTGATCAGGATGATGAAATCCTCTATTTTTCTTCCCACTTACTATCTCCAAAACGAGCAC